GATGACTCATCTTCTCCTAAGGGATTCCAGTTAACCAGATATTGTATGATAGGTTGAGAACTTTACAGAATGACTCTCCTTTGCAATATTATTATTTCTGGTTCAAGAAGACGAATCCACAGCATCCCATTCAGGCAATTTGGCATCCACCTGGTCAGTGACCCCTGTCTTTCTTTTTAACAGGGAAACATGAAATATACGGTGAACTTTGGTTCCTGGAGGCTATTTGAGTTTATAAGCCACTTGATCAATCCTTTCCGAGATTTGAAAAGGACCAAAATACTTTGAAGACAGTTTCAAATTCCTCCTAACTGCTACGGTCTACTGCTTGTATGTTTGTAGTTTGAGAAAAACCCAATCGCCCATCTGGAAATCTCTCTCAGTCTTGTGTCAATTTATGTAATGTTTCATTCTTTTTTGGACTTTAGCTATGTTTTCTTTGATGGAAGATAGCACCTGAAGTCTATTCTGTACCATAGAAGCTACAGCTAGAATTGCAGTATCATGGAAAGGTCCTAGAGGGGAATGCCTGGGTTTATATCCATATAGCTCCTCAAATGGAGTCAACTTTAAGCTAGTATGGAAGTTAGAGTTACACCAAAACTCTGCAAGAGAAATCCAGCTACTCCAATGTTGGGGATGTTCACAACACATACACCTGAGGTAGTTCTACAAACATTGATTGACTCTCTCGCTTTGTGCATATGATTGTGGATGATAGGGGGATGTGTAGTGAAGTTCAGTTCCCACTATTTTGAATACTAGCAAACAACTTATCTCTATCTGAAATAAGTGTTTCTAGAAGACCATTGAGTTTATAAATATTATCAATGAACACTACAGGTCTATAGCCACCTGCTTGGCTGAAAAAGGATGCATGAGAGGTATGAAGTGACCAAATTTTATCAAACGATCCACAATGACCAGGATAGTGCCATAGCCTCTGGATATATAGGTAATTGCTCTATGAAGTCCATTGTTATCTGAGACCATGCCTGAGATGGGATAGGAATGGGTTGCAGAAGTCCAGGATAGGATACATTCTCACTTTTGTTCCTTTGACTCAAGTCGCATGATCTAACCAACTGCAATACATTCTGTTTCATTTGAGGCCAATAGAGCAATGATTTGACTTTTTGTAGGTAGCTCCTCTGTCCTGAATGTCCTCCCACTACAGAGGAGTGAAGTGCCCTAATCAACTTAAGCCTGATTTCATTAGCAGACCCCACTTACAGCTTATCTTTGTACATCAGTATACCATTTTCCAGGCAATAGTCTCGATTAGAGCTGAGATCTAGTAACGAATGGGAAATAATTTCCTGTGCTACCCTATCCCCATCTTAACTATCCAGCAATTCATTCATCCAAGACTGGTTGTGCCGTAGTTATAGTACACATCCTTCCTTGAGAGATCATTATTTTTATCACTCCTCCATTCTCCTCCCCTAGATAAGGCATCTGCTACTCCAATGTTACAAGCCTTATTGTACTGGATTTCATAATCCAATCCTAATAGCTTTGTCGGCCACTTGTGTTGCAAGAGGTAGGTCAATCCTTATGATGAAATGGTGGCCAATTAGATACTTGAGGGCCTGATGATCAATCCTTATGATGAAATGGTGGCCAATTAGATAATGCTTCCATTTAGCTACAGCATATACCAGGGCTAGCAATTCTTTTTCATAAACTGATAGCCCCAGATTTTGTGGTGAAAGAGCTTTGCTGAGGTAGGCTATGGGTGCCCTTCTTGCATCAAAACTGCCCCAATCCCTATACCACATGCATCAGTTTCAATCATAAAGGAAGTACAAAGTTGGGCATCTGTAGTCATTTCCATTTTGGGATTCTCAAATGTTGCCTGAGCATTACTGCCTCATAGAAAACCATCTTGCTTGAGTAATTGGGTCAAGGATTTGACATTATCCCATAGTTTTTTACAAATTTGTGATAATAACTAGACAACCCCAAGGAACTCCTTAGTTTTTTCATAGACTTTGAGATTGGCCATGACACAATGCAATCAATCTTAGAGGCATCCATGCTCGTTTAAGATTCAGAGATGACATGTCCTAAGTATTAGCTACTTGTTTCTTAATTTCATTGTTGTCAGAGTGGGGATACCTGTAGGGCTTGAGTTTGAAGGGTTCAGCATTGGGTTTGAGGGTAATCTGATGGTCTAGTTCTCCTTCTAGTGATAAATCTTGAGGTGTGGCAAACACCTCTGGAAATCTCTACAACTTAGCCTTGATCTCTTCAAGAGTCTCTTGAACCTTGTCATTAATTGTATTCAACCGTTCTATATCACAGCATCTAGTTTTCTATTGTACAGAAGTTCTGAGGTCATGCCTCTAACCAACTCCATGACTGGGTGGTTGATGAATCCTTGCAAGTGCATCGTGACCCTTTACAATTGAGAGCAATACTCAATTCCTGAAAATCAAATGTAATGGGACAAAATGACACATCCAATCCACTCCCAAGATTACATCCCAGCTCTAAGCTCCATGATCCTTAAATCAAAATGAAATTTATAGTCCTGGATCAACCAAGACACTCTTGGATAGATTGCTCCACTTGTGACAGTAGGGAGACCATTTGGAAGCGCAGTTCTAAAAATTTGACCAACCCATAATGGATAAAACTATCTGTACTTCCTATATCCACCAGAATTTTCACTAGAAACCCGTCCGTATCACCAAGTAATACTGTGGATTTTCTCTTCATAGCGCCTGACATAGCATTTAAAGATACTTTTGCTAGATCTCACGTTCTATCCATGTGCTCATCCTGGTCTCCTATAGCATCCATAAATTCTCCATCATCCTCTTTATAACATAACAAAAAATTTAGATGCCCCAACTTGTATTGGTGCCCTGCACCAAATTTCTCCCCATGTTTGAAACACTGGCCATGGTTATGCTTGTATTGGACCTCCTCTGCTGAAATTTTTTTGGCATCCTGATAAGCATTTCCTTTTTTCTCTTTTGGAGGTTTGGAGCTACTGCTGGGATCTTGTATGAACCAGAGCCATTTGGATGACATGCACCATGTTTGTATAAGCCAAACTTGGGCTCTAACATTGATTTCCCTGAATTCTTGGATTGTTGATGTTGCAATTCCAATTAATGCTCCTGTAATTTAGCTATTTCGAATACCTTGGATAAGGTATCAGGCTTGGACATCTTAACCATAGGTTTTACCTGCTCCTTCAACCCACTGATAAAGTTGGATATAAAATATGATTCATTTAACTGGGAATTCTTGATTAGCATTTTGGTCTTTAATTCTTCAAATTTTTCTTGGTATTCCTCAACAGTTCCCTTCGATTGCAATTTATTGAATTCCTCCACTACATCACGGCTTCCAATTAACCCAAACCTCTCACTCAATAACCCCCCAAATTGTGACCAAGACAAATGGGTTTTTCAAGTTTAACCCTTGAAACAAATTTTTTGCTTTCCATTTGATATGAAAATAGCCAACCTTGTGACGAAACCCATAAAAGACAAGTCCAAGGATCTAAAATTTGGTATCGAGTTTGGACGCGAAAGATCTCAACCCGTTAATCACATGATTAAAAATCTTTGGTATAGATAAAAGACGCCACAATCTAACGTGTTTCTAGATTAATAAATCAGATTTGAATACCTAAGAACAAGTCTAAGATATTCAAGAAAAACTTGCAAAAAACCAAAATTCTACTTCTTGTTATTAATGCATGACAAAATGGCTTTTTTATAGGCGTACAAGAACCCAAAACCGAACGTGACTTGGAAAACACTAAGTGGCTGTTTGTTTCATGCAAGTTGGCCGACTCTATAAATCCTACTTACACTAGGATTTTGTGACATTTAACTCCTAATACTCTAATGAAAACGGCTAAGTACTAACTACACCACACGGACTCTATTTGCTCAACATGAGCTAGTCACATGAAGCAAAAACTAAGTAAGAATAATTATTCCTGCACACCCGAACTTATGTATGAAGCTCACGGATCACATAGGCTACTCAATCACGGATCATCAGCCACCTGAAGGAGATTCAGAAGTTTTGTGTTGCTTTGATCAAACCCTTCGACTGCTTTATATGCTCTAACTTGATGTTGAATTGCATGCACCAAGTTCCAAGTGACTTTCTTAGCTTTCCTCACCATTCCAAGAACATTTCAATCACATAGGCAATTCCATTTTGGGTGGATTTGGAATATTGGCCTTACCTTTCTTATTCTGAGTCTTCATACTCTGGTCATTATCTGGAATCAATCTCTGGTGAGCTGGAGGTGTTGGAAGAATTGGTTCAGAATTTCTAGTTTCATTTTCGTGGACGCCCTTCTCCCTCATCATCATCTTCATGAAGGCATTAAAGGTGCCAAGCTTCTAATCAATCAAAGTTTCTAGTCTTCTACTGTTGGCCTCCATCTCTTCATGGAACTTCTACTGCAGAGCCTATTGAAAATTAATCTGGAAAATCCAAGCCTACTTGCAAACAAGCTTCTTGCCTTTTAATCTGCTCCTCCAAAGCCTTGTATCTAGTTGTTTTAGCCATGAATTCAGTGCCAACCAATCAAGCATCGATTGCTCTGATACCAACTGTCAGGACCTCAGCTATGAGTTAGTAAGTTGAATCAAGAATGTCAGAAGAATTGAAAGTTAAGGCAAAATAAGCAGAAAGAATGAGAGAGATAGAGTTCAAAGGAGAAAGATCAGAGAGAGAGAAGAATTTTCTTTATACACTAACCGATACCATTTCTGTTACAACTCCCGTGTCAGCAATTTGGAAATGACTGCCTAACAGCCATACTAATTGAAAAGGTGTAGCATTGGCCAATCAACCATTTTCCTTACAAAAAGCTATGCTTATTACAAAACGCAGACTCTAAAGTATTAAATGACAATAACAGCACTTAATTTTTCTGACAAACTCTAAGAACTCTCTCCTGACCGCCGGCTCCAGTAGTTTAACTCCATATGCTTCATCTACAGTCGATTGAAATGTGATCATGGTTTAACAAGTACATCATGATCCCCAACATCATCCTCCTCCTCAACAACGAATCCAAATACAAGAAGACATGTTCCTTTAAGTAGTATGGTAGCCCCATAATCCGCTGCTTTTTTCCATCCTGCTAGATTTTTCACTATGATCTTTTCCCCAAAACTATATGACATTTGCAGTGTTCCCTTTGAAAAGGAAGCATCACTACTTTTATGTTCTAGAGCATAACTGACCTTTTCAGCAGTAAGTCCATTGTCAAAAAGATTCTTCAAAGGAAGATTGAGCTCTCCTACATATTTGTCCCTCAAGTTGTTTTCAGCATACAACTTTATTGCAATGTTTACATCTTCCTGTTGGATCAGTGCCTCAGCCACTTTATACCAAAGTGTGAAGTTCCACCTTGGGTTTATCTGACCTTCCTTGTCCGCCGGTGTTCGCTTCTCCGTTTTGCGCTTGCCATCTAGTGAAACTTTGGCATACACTCTTGTCTTTCCAGAATCCTGAACAGCGGGGAGATCATTGGCAGAAATAAGTGTGATCCTGAACCTTCTGCATTCCATACTTCTTGAAGAACTTCGTCTTTGAGTTTTAAGGTAGCAGTGAATACGGGGAAGTGGATATTTTAGTGCGTAGAGACAGAGTCGGGTTTTTAATCGTCCGAAGTCAATAGCTTCAGATAAAAACTTTCACATAGTACTGGCCTGGACTTTTTATTTTTAATACCTAAATAAATAAATTAACTTCTTGTACAAAAAAATTGTAGTATTCTACCTGCTTCAATTGGACTAACTCCATTTTGCACCCCTAAACTTATACTACTTTCTTACTTTGCACTGTAAACTTTAATTTATATACTTTACACTCTAACTTTAATTTTGGACACTTGACACCCTTTACTCTCAAGTTTGTCCCATTTAAATCTAATCAATAATTATGTTTGCAAAATTAATGAAATAAAGGATAGTAAAAATTAATGACAATATACCCATTTATTCTAACTATGATCCCTTAACTTTTTTTTGGCCACTTTTTATACATTGTCATTAATTTATATAGTCATAATCATTAATATTTTTAACAAAATTAACAAGATAAAAGATGGTATAAATTAATGATAATATATTATTTTATTTTTATTACGATATCTTGGCACTTTTGATCACTTTCATAACATTGTCATTGATTTGTTGGGTCCTATGTACCATTAATTTTGTTAAAGTTGTCATTAATTAGATTTCAAAGGAACAAACTTGAAAGTATAGTGTCCAAAGTATCCAAAATTGAGAGTTTATGGTACAAAATATTCAAAACAAAATTTAAAGTGCAGAGTGAAAAAGTAATACAAGTTTGAGAGTGCAAAGTGGTGTTTGTTGCTTTACTTAGTTCTTGACCAGAAAAGGCTTCTCATTAGAAAACTTGCATGTACCATCCCACGTTTACTGTATGTCTTCAGTCTAATTAATGTCAAAAGTAGTCACTTTTCAATTTGCTTAGTATCATTTTGTTCCTAAACTTTCAATTGCACTTATTTAGTCTATCTAACAAGAAAAAATATTTGGAAACACCTGACCAAGCTTATGCGCTTACTTGTAGACCATAATCTATAAGTGAGTTTGTAGACCGTATTTATATTTATTTACCATCTAACCATTGACTTGTTTTAAAATGGTATTCCATCACCAATTTAAGTTGGTCATGAATTTCACTTTGCTCCCTAAGGTTTTGTATAATCACAATTCACCCTATCAAATTCAAAGAGTAAGGTTATGTTTGATAATTCAATTCAATATTTAAATTTAATGAGTTCAGATTTTAACATATTCAAACATGTTCGATAGAAAAAATATAGAACATTTGAATTAATTAAGTGGTGCTGAATTTCTTACACAAAACTTACTCCCAAAAATAAGTGGTAACTATTCACTTATTATTTAATGTCGTATACATTTAAATGTGTCAAATTTAGTACTTAACAATTGAATAACTTAGTAATTCAGACTTCAGATTTCAGTTTTCAGATTTCAATTTTATCAAATGCTTCCTAAGAAACTATGCTTTGAGCTTTTGTACTTGTAATATTAATTGGTGAGCTAATTCAATCACGTTGATGACAAATTAAGTGCAAAAACAACCAAACTTTAGAATTCAATAACTAAAAAAGAGCAAAAGGACAAGTAAACAAATAAAGATATAAAAGGTTTTTAAGAATGAAAATGAGCAGTTATTGTTGTTTTATCTTTTCCTTTTTGAAGTTTCATCATTTTTTGCTCTCTAGACATTGAGTTAAACAAGTCGATCAGATTTAAAGGACTCCAACTTTCTTTCATTTATTTCCACTGAAAATTCTTAATATACATTCTTAACTATATATTTACTTGTTTTATTTATAAATTACAATATAAAGAATAATAAGAAATTCAAAGGCATCATATAAAAAGAAAACCAATTCTCATATTTTTCTCCATTTTTGCTTCTTTTATCAGAATTCAAATTCATCATTTTAGTTACTCTTTCGTGCTTCATTTGTCCCTAATACCTACTTATGTTAATTGAGTCCCATTTTTTTTTTTTTTGAATTTTTCCTTTTACTTAAATGTAATGGGACAAATTAAGATTGAAGAGGGGAGAAGTGACAATTACCCTTAATTGAGTCTAAAGTAACACTCTGCACAATTTAAGGGGTCCAAAGTGGAAATAGCCCTTTTAATTATTGCACTATGGGGATAATGTTACTTTTCTACTGAAGGTCAATATCCCTTAATTGTCTCACCCTTCCAATGGAAAATGCATTATGTATCCTAGCTCGTAATATCTGTGTAACATTGAATCAATCTAAAACCTTTTACAACGGGTCTAATTCCCTAATGCCTATATGATCTCTTGGCTTAAAAGTAGTCTCTGGAAGTTCCTTTAGATATAGTGAACAAGACATTCATGGTTAAAATTGAAACAACCAATTTTTAATTAAGAGATTTGAGGTTGAATTTGCCCTTTGGACTGGTTCAAGTGACATATTTTCAAGCAATAAATAGTTTGGAGATATAAAAATTGACTCAATCAGGTAATGCTTGAGAGATAACATAACACACTTGATTGATCCATCGTTTTATATATTCTAAGTCTTCAAATACAGCCTCACTAGTCACTACCTGAGGTGCTCCATTCATCCCTGGTTGCCTTTTGAAAACAATAGTTGAAATCGAGTAGTTTGTCCTCGCACATGTAACCTTTTTTGTTGGTTTCTTTTGTAGGATCTTTTAGGATAATTCTATAGTTTAAGCAGTCACAATCCATACGCATGGGCAAATGGTCACCTGCTTTGTAATGGGTTGGAAAAGGAGCAAGAACGGTTCAACATTTGAATAAATTTTAATTCATTATTAATTATTCGTACAGTTTCGCAATACATCATTCATATGAACTCCATACATAATATTTATATTTTTATTATGAGATTGTAATAGTCATTAACAATGAATTGCAACTTATTAACAAGATGTAACACTGTTAAGAAACAATTGTGAATACAACTCTTCTTCTTGCACCTTACCCGATGACTTGTGCCAGAATACTTTAACTGTGTCAATTGAATAGGCCAAAAATGAGGGGGAGGAGAGGCAAATGTTTAGTTTGAGTGCCAATTTTTAATTTAATGCATGGCTTTCGATGGGAAATATAACATCATCCGACAAACTGCTGAAAAAGTTAGGAGTGATTGATGGTGATAGATGATAGCTATTTCTGAATTAGAAAAGTGCATTTGATCCATAAATATTGATGATAATACGTACAAAGTCTATTTATCGACTTCGTGTGTAATGATAGAGAGGTTTTTAATAGGATTCAATGCAACTGTTAAAGTGCAACATCTGTTGCTAGCGTAATTATGAGTTGGTATGCAATAGTTCGTTATTCAATTCTTCGATTCACTTTGTTCGATTTCTCTTAAAAAAAGGGTAAAGTAACAAAAAGAAAAATCCTAGGATTTGGAATATGTATAATTTACCTCCCTGTGATTTAAAAACATACAATTTAATCCCTTGTGATTAAAATCAAATTGAAACCGTTAAATTTTTCGTTACATTTAATGCTCAAACTTTTCAAATAAAATACCTATAAATTACAAAAATTATCCTTCAATTTAAGGTCAGCATGATGTTCTAAACAAAATTCGAGAGCAAATTTGGGATAAAAATAAAATTTTAGAAACAAGCTAATATTTGCTTTGGTTTCAATATTATATGTTGGATTGCTACCACCCTAGTAAAAAAAAGTTCAAAAACAAAAAAAGTCCCTTGTAGTAAATCTAATATACAGAAAAATCTCCCTAGTTTCAAAACGTACAAAACGGCATCTCATACTTTGAACCAAATTGTAAAAGTGACGAAATCTGTTAAAATTAATGGAAATGACTTATTGGAACCTAAAAACAAATTTTTTTTTATATCTAATTTTTAATAAATATACCTGATCTACCCTTAACCCCCAATTCTTTCTCTCTAAAGAATGAAACAAATGATTTTGTTGAGCTCCTTTTTGCTTAGTTATATCAAGGCATTTTTGTCATTCGTCTGTTCCCTTTAATTTTAACGGATTCCGTCACCTTTATAATTTAGTTCAAAATATGAGGTTTTGTGTTGTACGTTTTGAAACTACGGGAGACTTTCTATATATTAGATTTACCACATGGGATTTTTCTGTTTTTTACCCAAAAAAAAGCTTATATTTGACTTCATGATTTGTTCTTGCCCTTTCATGAGACAAAGCAAATAAAACTTTTAAATCATGGAGTCTAATAGGTAGCACTAAAGACCAGGCAAATTTTTTTTTAATTTTAATTTTAAAATTATTTTAACCTTAGATTGAAGGGTGATTTTATAATTTCATAATAATTTTATTTGAAATTTTGACTATTCAAGTGTAGGAATTAAATCTAACAATTTCACTTTGGTTACAACCATAAGGGTAAATTTGTTAGGATTTTAAACCACAGAGAGCTAAAGTATACATACGTCAAACCATAAGTGATTTTTTTAAAACATATTTTAACCAAAAAAATGTAAATCTTGTTCAAACCATTTGAGCATAGATTTTGAACAAATTAATTCATATTTAGATTTAAAATTCAGTAATTTGTGGCTTCAAATTATATGTGAACAAATGGAGCAAGAATGAAGAATGCATCCATAAGAAAAATGAAATGAGTAATAAAGGAGAGAAGATGTAATATTCTTTGTCCAGCAGCTGGGGGAGGGAATTTCTAGTAACGTTGTTAGTTATGGTGAGCCTGAAGAGTCCATTGGGTATTATTGAAATTAACAAACTTTTCTTTTTGCTAAAATGAAAGTGCTTCGTTTACAAAAGCATCAACTAATAAAAAAGTCAGAATGCTAATTATTCAATAGATGCATGAAGAAAGTACATTTCAATACGTAACATGACAGTTGCTTTTGAACATAACAACTCGAAGTGTAACATTGTCATAGAACACTCAATTGGCCAAAATCAGCTCTGCAGCATACCCTTATAATCACCTGATAACAAAATCCTTACAACATCCTCTACTCAGAAGTTGCCAGAAAATACAAAAATTTTCTTCCCCAACACAAACAATTTGCTCAAACATCTACACTACCTTTCCTTGCAAAAGGAAAAATCAATTGATCACCATAGGGAGTTTATCCAGCCCTAAGCTCGCATTCAAGGGATTTAGTACACATGAGCAACCTTTATAGTCAATGCCCGCAAAGTTTTCTTTGTTCATTGGTAAAAGCAGATAATCTTTGTCTGCTGCATGCGAGAAGCCACTCTGCAAAAGTGCTTTATAAGTGTACAATTTCACATCATTCAGCAGCCTTCAGCATAAATGCACTGGATATGTTCTTCGATTCCAATAGACACCTGCATTCTGGCAAAGGGTTTGAGTAGATGGAAGCCTTTCTCCTGGATTTTTTGACAATGGGCACAGCGGTACCTTTTTTATCAATTTCAGCAAGCATTGATTGCATCTCATTCTTAAAAGCATCCCATCTGTAAGTAGTTTAAAGAAATTGTTGAAATGTATGACACACAAATCTTTTTTGGTCCAACTAACTAATCATAGTCATATTAAGTTGAAGTATAGTATGTGTATTATATTTCTATATCTAACCAAAATACTGATAGAAATATTAACATCCCTCCATAATTTGGATGTAAGAGAGATGCTGCATTCTTCTCGTCCCGTTAGATTCAAAAAATCCAAGAGAATAAGTCTGTCACCTGAGTGCCCTAGAATGTAGTTATGACATTTTCTTCAGGCGTTCATTTCACAATGAAATCTCATGTCCAGAAAGAAGTAGAATTGCCTGAACACCCAGACGCTCACATCCCTAAATCTACTAATTCCCTCTGATGAGGGTTCTGCAATTTTTTTCAACTGATTGACAATGTCCGAAATCCAAACTCATCATCTGCTAGGTCTTCTCTTTGGCTTTCCATATTTGGAGTCTAAGTCTATTTCTTGAAATTATACGCGTTAGTTTTACAGTTCTCATTCATGTCCCTGACATGCTCAATCCCCATCTGATTTTTGCCTTATCTCTGTCTTTCTCCATCTTTCTCACTTCTTCTGGTGGGATTTTTTTTAATTAGACGCATATTGGCAGCCATCCAAGTTCTGATGGTGCTGCTGATTAGGATCAGATTTTTCTTGATACATATGTAATGCATGTTAAGTATTATGAAGTCTCTTTATGTGCTAATAATATCATAGTCTCTGATTTGGAAGATGACTATTCCAGAGTAAGCCCTTGTACACCAAGTTACATTTAAATCAATATATACAGCCAGATTTGTCTCCTATAACCAAGGAATTTTTTGCAGCACCAACCTCATGGTGTCACCACAAGCTTCGTAATCAATGCAAGGACAGCAAATGAATATATTTGCTTCCATATCTATCTGAAAAAATAAAGGGATTAAAATGAAAAACCACTTCTTTGCTACATTTTGCTTTTCCTGCATGACTTTCTTATAGTTCCTCAATTGACGAGGCTATTATGTCTAACTGATGATGGTCTGAACAAGCACACTAATGTCCCTTTTAGCAGCTGTTTTCTAGGATATAATTATTGACTCAGCATGAAACAAAAGCAAGCAAAAATAAAGGCTTCAGAGCCAAACTGCTCCCCCACCATATTGAAAGTTCTTCCAGCACATGATTGCACTTACATGCAGCAACCTCTTTGCTTTCCTCAATACGTACTAAGGAGTCAACAACCACCTCCATTATCATTAACATCATAAAGTACACACTAGGATCAATGGCATTGCCTAAATCAGAACATTTGGAAGAGAATTTATTTATTTTTTTAATTATGAAATCATGGTTCTTTCTGCGTATGGATGCTGCTATATGGATCAAAAACCTGAACTGATAATGTTAAAAAATTGAATTCTACAACTTGTCCAACAAAACAAACTTCACCAGATCACCTAAAGATACAGTTCTTTTAGGGAGTGAATAATATGTCAAACCACATTTTGACTTTGGGGTTCAGTAATGTTTGGTGTTGTTGTTGGATGATCAGTCCAGTAATTATACAACACTTGCTGATTAATCTAAAATGTAGATGCTGATTGGTTGAGTTGAATCCTGACACCTAGATTGCAGTGATTTCTGCTATCGGCAGTAAATAAGGTCAAAACGATTTGGAGTTCGCGATTGGAATGATTCTGAATTTTAAAAAATGCTTTTAATAGGGAATAGCACAGTAGGATGCCCCAGAATTGCCCAGCATCCAGAAAGCATTTCTGCTGAGTATATGTGTGAGGGACATTCACTCACATCAATTCAAGAATCTTAGCATCATTTGGGAGCGAGTACCTCTGAAAAAAAGTATATTTCAAGAAAATTAAGCTAGTTTTCAGTTTTCTAATAAAGCCTTGTATTCAACCCAAAAAAAGATTAAAGGAAAAAAAGAGTTGCACCTGAAGCATTTTATACGTTAGCAGAATCTGTAGCTTAACTCCCAAATTCAACTAAAAGTTCTACTAAAATACAACAGCAACTCAAGAACTTTATAGATTTGATTCCCTTTAAAGTTACCTGACAGGTATTGCTCTAACTGAATATAAACATACTGTGTAGACTTGTAAAAGACAGAACTAGCAACCTGTTCTCTCCCTTTAGTTCTAAGTGATCCATTTTCAGTAAGATCCAAGGAAATATACTAAATCAACTTCTGGTCTACATGTATCAATAGTGCATCATGTCCTCAACGTTCAAATAAAAAGTCATAAAGTTTTCAAACAGGCAAAGAGTGAAACTTTTTAGAAACTGCAAACAAAAGTAGATAGTTAACAGAAAAACGGTAAAACACACAGAGAATGGAGAAGTAAACATAACAGAATGGGAGAACAGATATCACCTTATGCTTGTGTTGTGCAGTAAAAGCGCAAGCTTGGGCTTATTGGGTTTGATGGTCTTAGCATGGCCATTATAGAGGAACCTCCTATGACCCATCAGAAAATGCGGGAAGTTTCCACCTTGAGTGCTGACAAATACTTCACTAAACAAGCATACAGCATAGTCCAATGCAGCTAACCTTGAAGAGTATCCCTTGGATGGGATATGAAGGGTAAAAGAGTCAATCAAATTTCATGTATCCTAGTCCTTTGATTAACAAATAATCAAGAAGCTAGGGCAGACAGTTTTGTTGGTTTTTCTTTTAACATACTATGCTCTGACCAATACATAAATCTGCTTGAGCAGTTAGATTAGTAATAATATCAGCCCACATTACTTTGGAAAACTGAAACACTGATTAACTTAAGTCTACTCAGGTGCTTTTCTTCAGGCAGCAGAAACAAATAAAAATATTTCTTTTAGGCCATTGTCTAGAAGAACAAGATCCAAGGTACATCATTAAGAAATGAAAAGAATGATTGCAAAATCTATAAGAACACTAAAATGCCAAATTGGCTTCTAATTTGCTGGATGGACGAGATCTTTCAGCAATGAAACTGACTACCAGTGCAATTAAGTGCACTTATGGAAGTTTTAAGAGCTCAAAATTTAATGTACCAGTTTCCGTCGGAGAATTTAGTAACCTAATGGAATCTGATATTTTCAAAGCATAGTAAAGAAGATACAAAATAAGGGCATATCTAAACAAATACCAGTTGAATAGGTAGGCCATTGAAGTGGCTACCATCTCATGAAAGAGCAAAGACTACCATTTTGTTGCCTCGCTCAGAATACTGATGCTCTTTAGACAAGTTCATTTTAAATCTTCATATTTTAGTAAGTTTCAGGGTTACTACACCCTTGCACAGAAAATAGTTCTCATACAGAAATTGGTTATTATGCAGAAACTGACTACCATCCTTTCTGCAGAGTTCACAATGAATTATAAATCATCCGAAAGAGCTAATATCACAAATTGGTATACCAAATACTTCATAATGGAAATGTAAACTCAGTAGGTGCATTATATCTCTACCTGAAACTCAGCAAGCTCGTCTTCTGTTGCAAGCAAGTTCTTCGTCTGTAATAGGGGGAACATCTTGCGAAGAGGCATTAAATTTCTATCCGCCTGGTAAATTTTTCCTGAAGCCAAATAAATAGGCGTGTCATTGGCAAATCCCATACCTCTAAGCATCATCCCAACCTATCCTGACAAAGAAAAGAAATGAATAGAAGGATTGACTAATTTACATGCCACAGTTGAGAATTTCATGCAATTATACTATAAAACATCAACGAATCGTAGTTGCAAGAAAAATCAAAGATGAATATGCACCATCAATTAGAAATTGTTCTGATTCTAGTTTACATTTTTGCATTGAAAAATGAATATATCCACGAGATAAGCACAAGTCATAGCGTCCACTGATGGAGAATACATGACTAAATGTCAATATCATGATGGTAATGGTGATATTGGAGATGATAAAAATGATAATGATACAAGGGCCTGGAAAGGTGTCACTTTCTTATTCTTTTTCCATTCCAGTTTTCAGAAGAATATAGAAATCAGTATCTTGTATTACCAGTATGTATAGATCAGAACAACTTCACAAAGCTGCCATTTCATTCACCTGCCTCAGAACATATAATACATACATACATACATACATACATACATATATATATATATTTTATCAATTGCCCAAGACACTGCACCAGTTTCTGACTGTTAAAGTGACATGAAAATCCATTCACATAGACTGACATGATATTTAGCACATTTGTTACTGAAAATGTATAAATATGATAGCTTCCGTTCACATTTACTTGCGTCATATTTAACACAACATTTGTTACTGCAAACATACAAATCCACAGAAACATCTGAACAATCTGAAAAGGAAAAACACATAGAAACAGCATTTGGTTCAGAACGTAGACATGTTTGTGGATTAAGCAAATGCCTCAAGGAATGCACATGAAATATTTAATTAAAGAATTTCTTCAGTTTGGAGCCTTATTCAGCCCAATGCACGAGTCATGCATGAGAGCAATGCTTTCTATACTCTGATATCACATGAACATGCAATTAGTGGAAGCATGCAACTGGGCAATCTTCTAGACCCTCAATGGTAGAATTGAATTTAGTTTTCACATCAGTACCAACAGTTCCATTGTCAATAAAAAAGAAAAGGCAATGAATAAATTATGTTATTTTAGCCCAAGGATACCAAGAGAGGAGGTTATATCAACAAGGCTAACTCCAGGGCTTTTAGACATATTTGTTTGGCCAATATTTACCATCTTTGCTTAGCTCAAATTTTCCTGTACACAATATACACATTGATTTTATAATTTACGAACTAACCTCCAAAGGAGTCATAGGACACCTTCCATTCATGCGATTAAGACCAGGTGAAATCACATGATCGCTGCTCTTGAATTTCTTACCCCACCCCTTCTCTCGTATTGCATCCATATCAAATTTTTCAGACTTTCCACCATCATATAAACAACAAGAGAAGGCCACCATGTCCTGTACTTCAAAGATAGATAACTTAGATTATCAAGAAATTGAGTCAACTAAATTGAAATGGAACACCTGAATATTAGCTCATAAAAGCATTACAATGCAGAAAACAGGATTCAAATTTAGAAGCAGGCAGGTATACCTCCTCAAAGCGGAGATGAATTGAAACATACTTCCCACCATAGGAAGAGCTTTTCTCTGTCACTCTATTGACTAATTTTTGTGCAAGATTCGATATGGCAGAAGAGAATCTGAGAGCTTTATAATTGGTCAAACATCTTAAAAACTGAATATGAGGTGGAACATTCATTGACAGCCTGTTTGCAAATGGAGATATGCGGACAACCCTGTGTTAAAGAGATGCAATATCAGCAATCCTTTTATTCTGGGGCCCTGGGGGGGGGGGCAAGGGTAGTTTGAAGTTTAACCAAGTACATTAGTTAAACAGTTTCTTGTGCTTTTCCAGTTCCCTCAAGTTCAAACCTGTATTGTATGACATGCCAAAACGATTTTTCAGGACAGGAAAAGGTAATCATATTAAAATGATAACCCAATCATAGAGGAATTTTTTTTTTTTTTTTTGGTGAGGAACACTCCAAATCTCATCTTCAAGAAAAAACATGCAACAACATCATGTACAACCATACAGCACAAATCCCTATACAAGAAACTAACACCACATCACTTTGACACGCAACATCCCTACAAAACAATGATAGCATTGGACAAGGCAAAACAGAAAAAACAATATAACATTTTGTAGGTCTAATTTATATGTTTGTATAACATACTGATTAGAAGAAGTAGATCATGAGAATTGATGTTTGACAAAGAACAAGATTCAGAATTCTAGGTGCTCCATAGAATCCTTAGTAGCAACATTCATGGGCAAATTTATCCTGGCAAAGCTGCTCAATGGGAAGCATCTGTAAGACACACAAAATTAGAATTATTTTCATTGGAAACAATTTCTACTAAGTATCGAAACAGGACTTCTCCAACAAACTAAACAATAACTCTTGACAGACAAGCAGGAATGTGCTTTGAGGGCATTGACCTAATGATTCTGGTTCAGCAGAAGCTAGCGATTTTCCATAGATCATGCCATTCTTTGCTAGAGCAAACAGATCATAGTGATTGATGGGAAAGACAACATGTGAATATTTTTACTTAGAGCACATGAAGCCACAATCGAGAGCATCAGTTAGGAGTTTGTTAAATAAACTTAGCAGTTTGAACATCTCATGCAGTTAATAGAAAAATTTAAACATACTTTCCTGCATTATATTCATTATACAGGTTAATTTACATTTCAGCCTGATATTGGGAGTACAAGGGAGAAACTGAAAGCAATGTGTCAGAGAAAGCAAGGCTTTCGAGATTTCTCAAGAAAATTGTTGTGATACTCTACTATAAAAGTACTGGACTATAAAGTCATGATCAGAATGAACCTCTGGTTGAGCAAGACTGGGTAAACTTCTCCTAAGTAGTAACTGGCAGGAGCCCAAGCTTGGACACGAATATTTGGTATACTGCTGATGTTAAAATCATATGTTTTCATTATTTCTTCAGGTAGCTCCCGGACTACTGTTACAAAATCTTTCAGGGTAAATATGAAATGTTCTTCATCATAAATATCTGCAAATTCACTGCACATTCCAAAAAGAAACCATTAGTGGGAAAGGAATCTATTTTGTTTTCAGCAACAAAGGAAGCATTCAGAGACAGAAGAGAAGTTGAAGAGAAAATGAGGTGCAAAGCGAATATATTAGACTTCTTTCTCCATCCAGCCAAAAAAATAGATTTTTTTGTACATCTTTTCACGTTACTGGGTAAGACAGTATATATGATGTTTGTCACTAAGTGGAACCTTCACGAAGTGAAAATCAAATAAAAACACAATTGCGTTGTTGATTTAGTTTTAATCCAAATTCACAACAAGAAATAATATTCTACTAAAGCATAATTGAGTTACCTTGAATCTTGCCAAACACTATGAAATTCGAGGCGTGGAATAACTAGAGTTGCTCCCAAAAGCCCAGCCAAGGCCACTGCACTGCATATCTGCAGGTTTAGCTATTACTGTAACCTATAGCTTCACTCAACTAATATCTAGTAAAATGAATAATTTAATCATAAGTTTTTAACAAGGACGGCAATGTGCATAAAACTCGATTTGTCCCATGAAACTGAAATTGCAAATGCATTATAGTTTACAAAAGATTTTGGCTCTATATCTGAATTTACAATAAAACAACAACAAATTTCCAGAACCCAAGGGTCATTTGGAGGAACTTTTGGTTAAAGTCTTATCCATTTGAGCTAGTAGCCTTTCAAGCCCAGAATGTGAAATCAAAAATCCAAAAACTCCTCATATTGTTTCATCTTGTCAAGATATGTATTCACAGGTCAAAAGTTATTGGAAAAAGTAATCAATTAAAGCAGATTTAAAGGATCCTCTTGGCAATGGCCTTATCACAAGGAGGAAAATAAACAAATGAAAAGGACCAGAACTAAGTCAGGAACAGGCCTTTTCTAGGAGAATACAAATCTATTATCTAGAGTCCATTAAACTTAACTAATGTTTACAAGGAGGTTCTTTTAAGGTTAGATAATTTAAATTACACAAATGAATTGCAAACTGGCAGGAAAGTTTGAACCAAGACTAAATTTTGCTTATAGATTACGTAAGCTTTTATGCAAAAACAGTACATTAACAACTAAGACAAAAGGTTACAAGTTCAGTGTAAAACATTGCATCATCAAGAGAACTTACAACCAAAAAAGCTTTGTTTGGATGGGACATTATTTGCAAAAAACAAAATTTTTTATTACATCATGAATCACCTTGTAATCCTCCCAACCGCCATTTCATCTCACATACATCAAATCACAAAAAGTGGTAAAGTGTTACTTTAAAAAAATTTTCCAAGTAATCTTCTATCTAAACTCAATTGTTGTTAGCACACTATACATGCCAATACTTATAGACTTTTTTATAGTCTCTCTTCTTTCCATGAACAAATTAGCAAGAAGGAAAATTTCCTTCTAGAAGTTAAAAGCTGAAGCCCAGTTTTATGCATTCTGATAGAAAACTTAGAGCATAGGTCTAATAACATCTTACTTATTTATGGGCTATATATATCTCAGTAAAATTTTACATGATTAGAACTTCCACTTGTGACTTATTGTTTTAACATATATAGTCCACTCTATTTGTTTTAGCAAAATGACCAAAAAATGCCTTATTACACCACATATGCCAATCAGTTGAACTAATCAGAAAGAGCAAAGGACAGAAAGACAGAGGCAAAGGTCCACATACTTTAACATAAACATGATAGAATGTCATTGGTTGTGTGTCATTGTGTAACTCCTGCAGTTTTGATATGAGAACAATGTGGTATCAATTAATGCTAAGTATAATCTGCAAATATGTCTCTCAATTCTCTGAATCACTATAATGCCTACAGCTCAATCATCATTCTACCACTTCATCAGGTAAATAGATCAAATATATGTATCTGAATTTCCTTAAATAGGTGTCCAGCATCAAACTCATGTACTGGTTCCAAAAGTTGATAATACCACTGATAAGCATCCAAAATCTGAATTACATCATAATAACCTAAAGCTGTAAAAGATGAATTGTCATCAGCCTGCTCCCTTATTTATAGTTCTTGCATTAATTGGTCTGTGATTATGTCTAGCTATATTTCAGAAGCTCAGGTTACCATGATGCTAAGCGTATTTACTTGCAGTTCTTATTTGCTGCCAATGGCTTTCTTTGCTAGTTAGGATAGAAGAGCATGGCCATTCAGATTTGCATTAAAGGTTCTTCAAAATAAGGAGGGGGAAACCTTGATCCACATATAAAACTTAAAAGATTAGACCTTCAAATTAGTTGCAAGTTGTTTATCCTATGATCAATACTGCAACCTAACAGAAACAAATACCATCTATATACAGTACTTAGCAACTGGACACATAGTATATATCATTGGCTTAGCAGATAATTGATACAGTGAGTAACACTTAGATAAACAACCACTTTTTTTCAAAAATTGGCTACCAGGTACAAGTCATTTTTTTACTGTCTAAAAAACTGGTATGCCCAGTCTAACACAGGAACAAGTCACTCTATGCATCTATGAGCTGAATGTGTTTTGTCGGAATGGAAATTCTTCTATCTTGCTCTCTCTCTCTCGTGTCCTACAGCAAGCAAACCTTTGCCGTGTTTTGTTGAAATGGAAATTCATCTATCATCCATATTAATTTTCTTTCTCCAAGTGGCAGTCAAACACAGTATCTTTGCTGTGTTCTTCAGCAGAATGATTGGAGCTCTATTGCACATAAGAATACTTCTGTTTTGATTTTAATTCATCCAAAAGCAGAGATGGAACTAGAATTTTAATTTGGCCCCGCCCCGCGGGGGGGGGGGGGGTTTGGTCGAATATTAAATACAGAGCAATACAACGCTATCCCATTTTTGGTCAACATATTTTGATTAACTTGTTTAGTTTCTGAAAATAAAACATTAAAAGAGATGGTAAGACAAAATTGTAAGAGGCATAAGAATCATAATTTCAACGTAAAGATGATATGTAGGAACAGTAAACCATCTAGTGTTTTATCTTTTAAGAACTCTAAACCTATCTCTTCAGTAGGTAAAAGAAGCACACTGTATTTGCTACTCTGCCAACCAGGTTTGGGACCCGTACGAATTGGAATAGTTGTGTGACACATTTTATACCTTTCATCCCAAAATATTGTGTATATTCGGTCTCTTTAGATCCAAGAAGGGAAATGTGAGTACGTTTTAATGTATCATATGTACAACTAACACTTGCATTATATATGCATTTTTACCAACACTTACGAAATTTTTCAGAAGACTTACCATATTTATTGTCAATATTATTTTTTCATCATTAACTATTTACAAATCCCACATTCCTTATCCTACTCTTAACCTTAATCTCATAGAGTATTTGTTAATTGAAAAGCCATGCAATTGTAGACGCAATGAGGGCAATGGATACACATGAAAAAATTTTTGATGGGGCAAGAACAATAAGATAGTGAATTCCTGGTTATTCCCTATGTTTTAACACACCATACACGATGGTTTCGAATAGTCTTTAGCTAAAATCTTTGTAGGGGACAATTTAAAGCTTTTCCACAGCAAGCACTGATTGTGAGATGAGTTTCAACCATTTCTTCTTTATTTATGAACAAATTGAAGACCTAACTGCAGTGAAAGCAACACTAGTTTTCCTCCAACTTTATCTTATCCTTGAACAGAGTACACTTACCGATGATCGCTGCTGATTAAGACCACCATTAGCCTCAATAATCAAATACCGGTCAAGTGTTGGAGATTCTGAAATCAAAAGTTAACTCTTTAATTCATCTACAGCTGTTTATGCAATTATTTGCAGAACATTTTTTTTTTCCCCTTCTCTATCATTTTCTTTGTTAAGTAGGTTTCAGTTTCCACGACTTTTATGCATGGCCATTATTATGGGTTCTACCACTGCATTAAAAATACCAAGTAACTTGACAAAATCAATACCAGTTCCTTGGCGAGCAGTTCCATTTGGACAGGATTTCTGCTCTCCCAATTTCCTTCTGTATCTCCAAATAGAAGACAACTGTGGCAACAAGACAAATAAAAGTTAGTAATTGCCATCCATCGGTGCATATGAATCACAAAACAATAAACACAAGAACTTTCATCTCTCAACTTTATTTCTTGTCCCAAAATCAAATGTCATTTGCACTTGTACGTAGAATTTATGACCATGAAAACGTCTCATGTAACATTAATTTGGTCAATTATTTCAAAGTTATATTTTTGTAGAATTGGATAAAAAAATTCATTATCCCATGCAGAATGGAAAATTTTATTTCATTAGCGGTAATATCATCAATCTTAGTATAAAGGGTTATATTTATGAGACCTACCCTCACAAAACTATCACTTATTTTTGCACCAAATTTAAGTTAGCCTTAAATCATTGTCACTAAGCTTACCAATTATCTCATGGAAAACAAATCGAGATAATATTTATTTAGAATAGTTTAAAGACCCACAAATATTTAACTTATAATTTCTCATCATTGGAGTACATATCATAATTTGTCAATCAATCAAATGAGACCTTGCACTACAAACATTTTAAGGGGATCATCAATTAGGATTCGGTGGCTAATTGCTATGTTAGCCAAGAAGGGATCGTCCCTAAAGCTATTACCCAAGTTTTATTCAATGAAAAAAAAATTCAAAAACAAAAAAAGGCTTAAACTTTTACCAAATTCTAGTTAAAAAAGAATACAAAAATACAAAAAAAAAAACAGATGTAAATTGAAAGAAAATTAAGAATTTAATGAACTAAAATAGATTAAGGTTGCGTTTGATAAAATTGAATTTGAAAACTAATATTTGAAGATTGAATCTATTAAGGAACTGAATTATTGAGTATTAAAATGTTAACATTTGAGCATATTTTGTATTAAGTGATAAGTGAATTGATTATTACTTATTTTTTGGAAAAAGTTTTGCCTACAAAATTAAGTGCCAAGTAATTAATTTAGATGTTCTATATTTTATTATGAAACACACCTGAATATGTTAAAATCTGAAACCATTAATTTTAAGTGTTGAATTGGGTTATCAAGATTTAAGTTTGAAAATATTAGTTTTAAAGAACCAAATCAAATAGTATAAGGGACTAGATAGACAAATTTGAAATTATCAAAGGACCAAATTGTGTATTATCAAAATGTTGATAAATTTTCTACATAATTAACTTAAAACCTAATGCATGTATCCCAGATGGTGGGAGATTCAATTTTTTGACAAATTAACCGGGACTGTACAGAAATCAATTTAATTCTAATTGTCTCTCCCATAATTCTTCATTCCCAGCCCTCACATTCCAAAATTTGGAAAGCTTAAAAACAAAGAAAGATTAATTCCACTTGCACCCCTGCTATATAGAATCTCTTACATTGCACCTTGAACTTATATTTTGGAAATTTTACACTACTACTATCACATTACACTTAGAAATTAGAATCTTATTTCATGCACTTTGCCACTTAAATGTGGCAGTTCATCCAAAAATTGCGATAACTTCAATCACTTTTAATCACAGTATATAAGTACTATACACCAAGCCACTATTTCTTCTAAATGACAAAAAGGGCACCCAAAAAATGAGCCATTTGCATTTGTTAATATGAACTGATGGGTTGTCGTTTGAGACTAATTCAAAAGTTTAGGGCGCAAATTGCAAAGTTTCCAAACTTTAAGTTAAGAGTGCAAAGTTGAAATTACATAACAGTACAAGGGTACAATGTAAATTAGTACTCAAAAGAAAGGTCTAGCTTTAAAATGTAATAAATTGGCAATGGTGAGACACGAGCCTAAATTTATTGGTGCCTAGCTGTATGGAGCCCATTTCATAAACATAGAAGGCCAAACAACCACTTACCAATTTATAGTTTTTTTTAATTATTTTTTCCATAAAATTCAGGGCAATGGCGATCAATGGGAGATAAATTTTCCCATCTCGGCCTTTGAATTTTCTTTCATCTCAAATTGATAATCCAATTTTCATAATTGTTCATGTTTTACCATTCCGTACATTGAAATTGGCATCAACTTTAAGGGCACATTGTCAACGTGACATATACAAATTCATCACTTACCAAGATGCATCGTTTCTATACTAAAAATGGGTATTTTGATGAAATGAACAACAAAAATTCAACTAAATTAATTTAGCTTAGATAACCGATGGAATTTTATGAGCACTTATGACAGTTGGACGACCAATTGAGACAAAAAAAAATTGAGTGATCAAAATGAGCTTTCTTGAAAGTTCAATTGCCACTAGCACATCAGTTTGCCCAAATATTTACTATATCACCATTATTGATAGATTTGTACCATGAAGACAAAGGTAATTCAAAAACATATTTTTAAATTTTTTGGAAACAAAATTGTTAACAGTTATGCCACCCAAATAGAGCCCATCTTTATTTTAAAAATTTTAAAAATCATACAAAAGAAAAACTGAAAAGCAGAAAATGCAAATCAAATGCTAAGCATATACATAGATACATAATGACACTGCTCAATGCTGAGGAGGCCTTCGTATAATGATTAGCGTTAAAACATCTAAGAATTAGAGGTCTGGGTTCAAATCCATGTTTTCATTTCCGTTTCTTGAATCACATCCCTTGCGTGCTAGAAAAATTTAAAAAAAAAAAATGAGAGAGAGGGAGAAAAAGATAGATAATGACACAAACCTCAATGGAAGAAGAATTATCGGAGTGAATGTCGGGCCAAAGCTTCTCAAACACCTCATGACTGCGGTAGACCGAGCCAGGTGGTGGGGCCGGGCGTAGAATAGCAAGCAAGGGGCCCACTGTAAATGTGATCACACCCGAAAAGTAGAGAGTGAGTGGCAGCACCAGTAGGCATCGCAAGAGGAGGCTTCTCCGGCGGAATACTCCGGCCAAGGAGACAGTAGCACTCTTTCCTCGCCGGCGGTGGAAATGAGCAGCCTTGTGGCGACAATGTTGGTGGCTGTGGCACCCTGACGAGGTGGTGGTGGGTGTGGGATGTGGTGATGAAGTCGAGGAATTGGCATTGGTTGTTGAAGCATTATTAGCGTCTGATGCCATGCAAGACAAACAGTACAAGAGAAAGAATAAACAACTCCTCTGATTCGTTCTTTCTTACTTTGTACTGTTTTCTGCAGGAGATTTTCTTGATTTGTTGAAAGAAAACGGAGGGAAGCTGAGTAATGTGGGGAAGAGAGAGAGGGAGAGTGGGAGACAGAATTGAAAGCCAGAATTTAGAGTAGGATTTGGAGGGCTACAGTGGCAGATATTTTCTTGCAGAAAAGCTGTGTGAATTAATGTGTACTGACCGAGTAGAGAAGGGAAGCATGATATGTTTGGAGGGCATTGGTGGACACTCAATAGACAGTACGTCCCAATAGCAGTAGTGGAAGTAGAATATATTAGTACGTGACTTGTGAGGTATTTACTGGGTTTGTTTGGATAGTGTATTATTTGAAATATTATTTGGAATAATTACTGTAGCACTTTTTATGATGTGATGTATGTAAGATAAAAAAGTGATTGGAAATATAAAAAGGTGGATTGAAAAATGTGTTTATGATGCAAGCGAAATATTATTTGGGATAAAAGTACTATCCAAAAGTACTTTTATGATTGGGAATATAAAAGCACTGTTTTGAGTATAAGACAATCTATGGGATTGGCTAGATACGGTTGAGTTTGGTACAGTTGTGTGTGGTTGATATATTTAGGACTGAAAAATACGCCAAATACTATTTGATACTCAAATCGATGTTGATTTAGTAAGAATCCGTTTGATCTTGATTTATCAACTAATCAAGGTAAGGATGAACAATGTTTTATATTCGATAATATTCAAATTGAATAAAAGTGCATTCAAATTTGTTTTGGCAAATAAACAAGTCAAATTTGAACAAAATTTCAAACTCATTAAAATAACTAGACAAGGCTGAACATCAAGGTGTTTAACTTAATTAGATTCATTTACGCCCCTAGATATACTTCTTTCACATGTTAATGTACACTTACAGATCAAGTAAAATTTATAGATTGAATTAGTGCATTCGGCAAAACTTACGTGTAAAATAAAGTTTTGTGATGGTACACTAAATTATGTAATAAATAGAATAATCATAAACTACATCAAAATCAAGATAGCACCTGCCTGTACTCCAACATTTTAGATGGATATAACTCATTTTAATTCAGTTGGTAAAGACAAATTATTTTCTCTAAAAAGATCGTGTGTTTAAATCCTACTTCCAAATTGACAACTATATTATAGGTAATCTTATAAGCGAATTGTGGTACCGGTATACTTGACCACGATTCAAGTTTAAACTAAAACCAAATTGAAATTGGATTGTTGGTTGTTAAACCATAATGGAAACTGATTTTGGAGAACTACGATAGGAACCAGAACTATTACTAAAGGTTATGATTCATAATTATGAAAAATTTGACTCGAAATTGGTGGTTTTGAAACGAAAAATTAGAATCGAAATTGGTGGTTTTGAAACGGAATCATCTATTTAAAGAATATGTGTATGTGTGCTTGTATATATTATATGTATGTATGTATATATGCATGAACCAATTTAATGTGAAAATTGAGACATTTTTCCTATTCCATTTCAATTCCAATAAGAAAATTATTTATCTTTTGTTTTGTTTAAAATGTTCAATAGATATGAGGTACATTCTCACCAAATTTGTATCATTTTTTCTAGTCAAATAATAATAAAATAAAGCTGTTATTTTTTCTAAATTTATGTTCTTTATTTCTTCTTGTTCTAAATTTATTGTCATATTCTTTTATATTTAATTTTGTAACCATAAGTGATTAAATATAATTAAAAATAACTGGAATCATAACTGAGGGTGCTTGTTTCACATATTGGAATCGAAAATGGAAATGGAATCATAGACTCTGGTTTTGGAATTAAACTTTTCATTCCAATATCTAGCTTGGTTCGCACATTGGAATTAACATCATTCCAATTTTTGATACTTGGTTTGATGAGTGTTTCAGAATTAAACGCAATTAAATTCCAAATTTACCCATGATAAAACAATTCTTATAAAACAAAGGGATAATTGCAAAAACTGGTAGGTTTTGTATTTAACAAAAATATGAGATTTTGTAGATTTTGAAGTTTAAGGAAGGGATATTTGAAGTTTAACGACCGTTATACAACTTTCAAAACAAACAAATTCATTCTAAATTTTTTTGGGATAATTTCATAAACCAAATCGCGGTCACTTTCACAAAAATCATATTTTCCCATAAAAGACCAGCTCTTTATGGCTTTCCTCCATTATAAAAACAGAGTACCCATTTTTTCATAAATAAATTTATTTATAGGATAAAATAAAAATAAACCCGTTTTTCAATGAAACACTAGCTCTTTATGGCTTTCCTCCATTATAAGAACAGAGTACCCATTTTTTCATAAATAAATTTATTTATCGGATAAAATAAAAATAAATTCGTTCTCTAATAAAACAACAGCTTTTTATGGCTTTAGAATGAAGGGTTACAATGTCGCTGTCTCTATCACCATCAACTTTTGACTCCCTACTTCTTCCATCCCACCCAACACCAGAACAAAATACCATTATTTGCAGCATCTTCAATAGAAGTAAAAAATAGTCCGATATTCTCATACCCACTGCATAGCCTATTCGTGAAGATGACAAAGTTTCTCAAGAATCGTAGATTCACTTCAAGGGCTGAGATTTGTTCCTTCAAAGACAGAATCAAATTGTCTTCAAACTTAAGCAGATCCTTCAGATTTACCAGAACACAATAAAAAAATTCCACCAGAACTTCACCACTCATGGCATTGTTTGGTTCTAAGGAATGTTTTGCCCAATCAACAAAATCTTCTCCAATTTCCACCTTGGAAGCTTCAACCTTTTCAAGCAAATCATTTACTACATGGTCTAATTTCTCGTTTAGGCTCTCAGATCTTAGAAAGCTGTTGCTACTATTTGTGAACCTGAACTTGGGACTTTGAAATGAGAAAGAAGATGTCCGATGAAGGTGATGGGCGGCAATTGATTGAAGAAGAAGAGATAGGAAAACTGATGAAGAAGAAGACTCTGGTTTTGTGCGGCGCGTGATGGAGAGAAAGAGATGGTAGATCCGTCATAAATATTGTCTGAGGGAATGAGTTGAGGGTTTTGTCCAAAACCTCCCAATTTGCTCAGGAATGAATTTTTAGAAATGATTCCAAAAATGGCATTCCAATAAGCTTAACCCAAGCAACAAATAAGGGGTTTATTCTATTCTGTGATTTCCAAACCCTTTAACCAAGTAGCCCTTGAAATAATCGGAATCGAATCATAGCTTAAATCGATATCAGATGTTCCAAAACTATAACTGTTGATCTTGATCCCTATCTTTTGATGTTTACAAAATAATGGATAATATCAATGTCTTTTCAAGAAATATTTTCAATTATGAAGCAAATCAGATTTAAAGATTAAGTGCAATTGAAAGTGACAAAGGCTGCTGAAAGCTGTCGGACGCTTGGATCGGACGTCCGACAATCATTGCGCAACTTCGAACGCATAAAGAACTCCACCACCGGACGTCCGAAGGAAATAAGATATTTTCCCTGACTCACTGATCTCGATCGGACGCAAGTATCGGACGTCCGATAGGATCCTTCAAAGTCGATGAAATTATCGGACGCTGAATATGTCTCCACCGGACGTCCGATAGAAACAAGATGATTTCTCAAATTTCTTTGTTTACTGTCGGACGCACAAAGAGCTTGCACCGGACGTCCGATAGAATTGAAGAAAATTTCTCAAACTTAATGCTTGCTGTCGGACGCAAAAAACAGGAGTACCGGACGTCCGATACTACAACGGCTAGTTGACTGTTCAACTACTTTCTATCCGTTGAAAGCATTAATGAAACACTTTATTGGTCTCCTATAAATAGAGTATGGTCAGAATCTTCAAACAACTTTTACACATTAAGTCTACATTAGATATTGAGTGATTCAAGTGTAAGAATACTCCTAAAAGAAGATTTGTACTCTTAGTTTGGTATCAGAGTTTGGTCTCCTAGAGATTAATCTCAATCGGCTTGGGAGTAAAAATAACAACCAATAATGCCATATTTTTTAAAGGACATTCTGTCATTAGACCACCTATATTTAATGGATCAAATTATGTGAGTTGGAAAGAAAGAATGATTATCTTTTTGTAATCAATTGATATTGAATTGTGGTTTATTATTAGTGAAGGTCCATATGATACCTCTCTTATAGATGAAAATACTCATAGATCTAGACAAAAAATAAGAAGTGAACTGACTGCTGTGGATAGAGCTCATCTTACCTTAAATGCAAAAATCATGAATGTGTTATATTGTGCTTTAGACTCAAATGAATCTATTAGAGTCAAGGGTTGCATGTCAACTAAAGAAATTTGGGACAAATTGAAAGAAATTCATGAAGGTAGTAAGAATGTTAGAGAGCAAAAGAAATCTATCTTAGTTACTAAATATGAATCGTTTAAGATGGAAACTCATGAAAATATTGATCAAATGTATTGTGGATTCAATGATCTCATTAAAGATTTAGAAGTGTTGGAAAAGAAATACTCTTTAGGTGAGAAAAATAAAAAAATCCTGAATGCCTTGTCCAATGATTGGGAAAATAAAGTGACTGCTATTGAGGAGGCTAAAGATTTGAATACTATGCCTATTGAACCACTTATTAATTCTCTGACCTCTTATGAGTTGAAACTTAAGACTAAGGTATAAGAGAAAGAAGATGCAAAGGTAAGAAGGAACATTACTCTAAAAGCATCTCAAGATAAAAATGATTCGGCCTCCTTGGATGGAGAAGATGCGGAAGTTGATGATAGTGATCTAGCTCTCATCACAAGAAGTTTCAAGAGGATCCTCAACGAAAGGAGATTTAGAAAAGAAGGATCTAGCAATTCAGATTCTAATCAATTCAACAATGCAAGAAACAAAGGAAAGTATGAGGCCAACAAAAAATAAGGTGACAAATGCTATGAATGCGGCCAACTTGGACACTACATGAGTGAGTGTCCAATGAAGAAGAGGAAAGTTGAAAGAAAACCAAGATTCAACAATTTTCAATTCACATAGAATGAGTGCAATTCCGATGGTGAAATTGAAGAGGAAGAAGAATCTGCTCAATTGGCTTTCATGACCGTTGGATATAATGAAGTAACATCTTCTAACTCTCAATTTGAAAGTGATGATGAAACTGATGATGATCTTGAATCTTTCATTATAAAATTGCATGATAGTTTGAAAGAATCTTATGCTAGAAACAAGGAATTGAAACATAAAATTGGCTTTCTTCTTCAGGACAACACACGTCTTT